CTGAAACTCGGGGCCACTGCAAACAATTCACACTTGACATCAGTGGATGACGATCGAAAGTGCGAAAACTCGGCTGCTACGTAAATACAGTTTTCTAATCGAACTTCGTTTGGCACTGACAAGTCTATGAGCAAGAACATAATGGTGATGTATGTATGAACTGACACTGCACAATCACACTTCTAAATGGCTATGAGTACCTTTGAGTTACGATAGCCTCGAGTAGGACAAATTCTGTAAAAAAAACATAATCTGTTGAAGAACAAATTATAGGTGTAGAAGTCAAAGAGTCAAGTAAATTTCAAACTAACATCACAACCGTTAATTTGGTCATTAATTCGTAAGCCTGGTTGCCGTTACGAAGAGACGAAAATTGCCTCATCGACAGCTTCAGACACATCGTACCGATAAACAGATTCAGCAACCACAACAATGTGAATAAAAGACAAATTCCGATATGCTAACATTTCATCTGCTCTCATCAGCCGGTTTGAAGACAGAGAGGCACTTTTCGGGGAGTTTCTGCTAGCCGGAATACTCGGTTGACATACAGAACAACCTTCCTTCTCTCCACAGTGCAAGAGGCGGAAAAAGGATTTATACCTTGTCCTGCATTTTAGATGAGATCGTTTGGAAAATAACATGCGACCTTGTAATTTCGGCCTCGTGAACAGTTTACGGTGCAGTACAGCTGCGCATAATCTAGACTATTCGACGGATTATTCTTTCTACGTGGGACTGTAAGGCTTTGGGGTTCACCAATAATTCACCAGTTCTCTTGTAGTTGCAGTGAAAATAAAATCGGAGATACGGACGGGCATTCCTCAGAGCGTACAGCTCTACCAGGTTTTCAGAAGCTAGGCACGAGGGTTTGGGATGCTAGGATCGGGCTTCAAGCATGGGTCTCCCGGTCAGTAATTTCGCACGTTTACCACCAGGCTAGTTGGATCTTTGAACTCGACTGAAACCTGAGCCAGGATACATAAGAGACACAGATATCAATTAGGTTGAACGCTATTGACGGGCCTGCGGTGCTACAATGATGTATCTCTTTAAAATTTGTCATTTCTGTTCTATGCTTCCATGCCATGGGTCCTGGATACCAAATTACTGATACATGCGTTGGACTCGAGGTGCTGCGATTCATGAATTCGCATAATACATTAATAATATAAAGCTTCTAGGATGTCGATAGTTCGAGCTTAAATCTTAGGAAAAATGATTAAATCCATCAAATTTACATTACAGATAGCAATAACATGCAATGTGAACAAAGACTGCAAGCCACAAACCCTATTGAAAGCTGCACACACGATGACTAATAAGATGAATATATCTAACTCTGAAAAATACGACTAGCTTGTCAAGTTGGTCGTGCTAGAAAACATGGAGATCAAAGAACACAAATCAATTCAAGTTGACCAGGACAAATAGATGAACTCAATGGGAGTCACATAATTCTCATGCGTGTGATGTTTACCGAGCAGTTTGAGAACATTCGTTAGTTACCTAACGTTATCTGTGCTAGTAGCACCCGTGGTAGGACAACACACATACGAAATGTGGAGGGTCAAGTGTTACGAAAATTTATCCAACAAACGATGATGATATCGGTGAACTGCGTAGATGGATAACTGGAGTTGGAATTGAGGAAATTGACTAGTCGGCAAGAGTGGTGGACGACGCTGAGTGATCAAATTCAGAGCATCGTCTTCATGCCGCGTCCAATCAAAGGTCACCAGCTATTGCTGAAAATAAGGAAAAACGTATCAGATTTCAGCAATTACAACCTGAACATGAAATGATTCGGTCATATCTGCTTTATGTTCCAACAAAAATATACCACGACAGATGCATGACAATTCAATTCACTCAAATCACCCACAGTCAATACAAATTTTATAAAAATTGGCCGAAACACGATGAAGTTTATGAAATTACTCAGACAACGGAAAGAGAAGATGTTACAATACCGCGTACACAGATAGACTAGGTGTATGCGTGTGTAGCATGTATATACTAGACCCTTTTTGAGTGAAACAAAACATGGTGGCTGGGGTAGCCAGCAAACGTATTTGGTGTATAAAAGCATGCAGAGGAATCACTAACAATGAGTGTATAAACATACCCGAAGACTTACTAAATCCCTTGGACTCTAAGTACGACCAACCTAGCAGTCATCTTCGCCACTCACTCTCTCATCAGAAGCAACTGAAAGACCAGACGGCCTGTCAGAACATATCAGTGTGACACAATGTTCAAACACGTGTATCGGTCTAAAATTGAGGCTGCTATCCAAGCAGATCTCTGAGCACCTTCCGACAAGTCTCCTCAAACGACATCAGCGTAGCAAGAAAGGTTCAATCCTAGCTGACCTGCTCAACAAACGACGCCAAAACAACGACAAGGTGGAACATACACCTCTTTTACAAGGTCCCATCGAGCTGGTGGAAGGCAACTAGACATAGGATATTAGGCACTAACGAAGTCATCCGAACACGTAACTACAGCGGTTAACTTCGTTTCCGAAGCAATGTTACAGACACTAGCACCGACACTCACTCAGCCAGTAAATTACGTTTTCAACCCACATCAAACTCTCCTAGTCAAATTCAAGAAGCACACAGTGCTGTGGATCCAAAGAGGATTTCCATTCAGGATAGAAATTTTGAGGAATTAGACGCTACAAACTATTCATATATCTGTAATTCTCTGGATAACGAGTCACAAGCGAAACCGAGGCAGATGAATCTGCAGAGGTAGAATGACATTTCCTTACCTGACCAGTTCATGGATCGACTTCGTAAAGTGTCTTCCTCGACAATGCGACTTTCTCAATCCCAACTATCCTGCCTATACTCTAATTATGCAAAGCTCCACTCTTTGCCACATGGATAGTTGCATTTGGCTTTGTTTGTTTGTGATGCGTACCACAGGGGGCGATTACCACACGAGATTTTATGAAGTTGGTGAATGTACCCGAACAGCTCCACCAGCATCACAAATTTGAAGGTTATTCAGATCGTCTGGAATTCGCTTTGCCATTCTGACCAGGATCGCTAAATGCTTATTAGTGCGTCTTCGTGTTTCCTAATACGGCAGAACAGACTAGTTAGCAATGATGTTCAGGGTTAGGTGCATCCACGATGAACGTTTGATATTGGCCTGTTTTGAAGGAGCAAGTTGGAACTGTTGAAATTATTTCATCCAACAGGTTCATTGCAGTTTATCACTTCAACAGAACGCGGCAAGTCCCTATCCCCATTTGGGGTTGACTTATCAATTCCCAATCCTGATCTCTCTCGACAAGCTTTTGGTAGAACTTCGGGTTTTAGTGTGTTGTTAAACTGATAATACTGTTACGTTGTGCTATACGACCTAGTAACTTCTCCCGACACCAAGCTTTGTCAGATCGCAGTTTGAAGAGCGCAATCGTGGGGTCACAGCTAGCATAGAAAACTATCCTTCAACTTTGTCACATTTACAAACGGTGGATTGTAGAAATTACTTGAGGGGTCATAGAAGATGAACATCATCTTTTTTCTTCAATTCCTCGAATACTGCACCGCAGCTTGAACGAAGCTCATGATTCAGCAGAAGGAAGAACGAAATTTCGATGCATATTCAGGCGGAGAAATTTACCATCCAAAGCTGTGAGGTGTTGTTTCAGACAATACAGATATCAAACTTAAATCCTCTCCGCTGATTCCGTGAGCGTTCATCGCTTCGGAAACGACGTCGTCAAAGAGGTTCCTGTGAACCCATGGCTACCTCCAACTATCGCTTAATTTCTCGTGAACTCCATTAATCACACAGTAGTATACGGAGTGAGCCACACCGGTAAAATAATGGAGGCCTGCGTCGAATTGCGAAGGCATTGACAAAATCAACTGTCAGCCCATCCAGGCTACTTCTCAAATTGACCATGGCTGGGGCGTTGGGAGGTCGCCGTTCAGCCTCAACTCAGAACATCAACGTGCTGCCTATCGTTGAAGTGATAACCTACAATGAAGCACTTCGATGTAGCAACTCCGACTTTCCTCACCCTATTTCCCGGAAGGGATGATTTCAACTGATTTCACTTGAACCGTTCTTCAAGAGTGCTTTTACTTCAGAGTGATGGCACTACCCCATCGTTAGGCTTGATGCGAATAGTCTCGAATAACGATTACAATGGGGACTCCTGCAATTCTGAGATTACTGTGTTCTCAGTAACTATGTCGTGTTGACACACTATGATGGCTGTGCTGACGGTGAACATATCACATATAGCATTGCGAATACGAGTTTCCAAACTGCTCTAGCTGAGGATTGCGCTAAACTCAGGGCTTGATCGACGGCACAAAAATTGCAATCACTCCACTTTTGTTGCTGGCAATCATCAACTACCGGCCCGTGATTTTTCTACTGACATCATGGTGCTTTCTCCGCACTCGCGTTTCAGTCGGATCCCACATCAGTCATGCAACGACAGTACGCAAATCTGTCCGATCTGACTTGTTTTTGGTCCTTTCCAGAGGTGTTTCTTTAACATCTAATGCAAAAGAACAACTGAAAAGGATGAATCCAATAGCATGCAGCACACAACTCTGGACAACAGTGCTGAGGCGTCTCCTTGGCCGCATAAGAAGACATAGAGAAGAGAAAATGCGAACTAGTTGAATTTGACTAGACTGGGCAGATGAACTCCAGATAAATTGCATAACTGTCGTTTGCCTGATACTTGCAAAACTGTTTGCAGATATTCGTGATGTGAAATTCCGTCCCGAACGTTGAAGTTTATATTTTCCCTACTGGACATCGGAAGCAAATTTGGTGAACACAACTAAGCCACCCGCTAGTTAAAGACTAAAAAGAACTGCTCACAGCAGTAATCACGATGTATTTGAACGTTCTGAGAACAGATAATCAAGCACATTAAGTAATATATGATGCCGATCTTGCACAACCTGATCGAAGGGACGTGTACAGTACCAAGGAAAGGAGTGTAGTACGCAAATTACGAGTCAGGGTCAGCAACAAGCCACACCTCGTTTCGCCGATTGAACAGCTCAAACGGTGAATTATAGCTCGCGGAGAAGTACACGTCGGTTCGATAGCCTTTCCCCATCCGATTCAAGACACTTGCAAGTCGTCCAACTTCCTTATTCAACTTGTTTTCATTCGAGAAGCCAGAGTACACGCTAAATCCAAGAGAAAAAAGAAAACTGTTGGACATGTTTGGTACAATAGATCTGAATCCGGTCGAATAGAAATACATAAATTGGAAAACAATATTGATGTTGTAGAACACATTTCGATGGAATTTTCAGTATCATGTTATTATTTCCCTGCATTTGCGGACAAGGTTCGCCGGATGAAGGGAATTCACACCGCTACCAACTTAGGATCAAAGTGTCGGATGAAGTGAGGTTGTTTATATTCGAGAACGCACCGGAGAATGTAAGCATTGTATATCAAGTATTGTATACATTCCATGAAAGGAGAAAAGACAGATCCATCAAATGAATTAGCACTAAGGGTTGTTCGTAAAATTAGTCTTTCCCACTTTATTATTGGTTCTCGTTCAGGAGGGACTAGCTTTCGGATGAGACCATTTTTGAACCGGACCTCGGAATGACCTCTTCAGAGGACAGGGAAACCGTGTGGGACAGACAATTTATACCGTTGTCGATGGAAATGCTAATGACATGGAATATCACCCCCTGAGTAGTTGTCATCAATAGCCGAAAGTCGTACACGAAGTTCTTCGGCTGTTTCGTGCGCACGTGTGTCCACCGCAGACAATTTATACCCAGAGGGCGTTTGACCGACGCTAAAATACATGCACCACGTACAGCTGACCACCACGTTCCTCATGATATCAAGATGATCGAGGTTACGTACCACTTCACCGTAGTACAAGAATGTGGATCAGCCTCTAGTTAGTCGGTTTGCTATCGACAAGCAGCAGAGCTCAACAAAACGAACGATTAACTATGTGTTTTTGGCTTATACCAGAAAAAGTTTTCACTGATACACCTTGTGAGGAACGCATGTAGTGTATCTCACTTCAGGACATTCTGGGCACATAGTATTGAGGAATGAAGTCATCCGGCCTCGATTAGATCAAATAACCAATTTGTACCTAAGGTAGGTCGCTGCTCAGGCCAAATGTTTACGATTTCATCGAGGGGATAGTTGTGAGAGCCCGTGTGCACTAGGTGATTTGGTATAAGACTAGTATGACTGTCATCCTAAACCAATCAATCAGACAGCGATCACCGCAATGCAAAAGTCCGGGAATCATGAAGCATGTACCAGCAGAGTGCGCGAGGTTCTCAGTCAGCGTCAAACGACAAAACAATAGAACCTACCGAGAATAAACTTTCAACGGCGGTCTATGTTCTATGAACACGCTACTCGCCTTTGGCGTCGGAGGTGAGGGGCATTCATCTGCTGACATATAGAATCCCATTTTGTATAACCGGTCACTTGTAGATCTTGGACCTGGCTTGATTTCAACCAATACAGGCCTCGTCATAGCGATCTTCTGACCTGAAGTTTGAAGCATTTAGTTCCAAAAATGTCATAACGCAAATGCATACCTTTAACGTTATTTCCTGAAATGTATTTGAACAACTCGCTAAACCCCGATGATGACATATCACTCATCCGAGGGGCAATAGCCTGGGTGCATGCCCAATTCTGCGCAGGATAATGACGCAACTCCAGGTTCTAGGTTGGTACAGAATAGTGACATTGAATCAAGAAAGGTTTACCTCGTTTGGCCACTTTTGAAGTACTTTATACGGGGCGATTTCTGATTCGCCCATCACGTCCACCCCAAATTGATGGAACAGTTCAACGAAACACCTGGAAAATGAAGTTTATGAGAATTGGTTGGATTAAGTCTGAGACCAGGGAGCGGATAGGTGTGCACTCACCTAGGGCAAAAACAGCATCGTGCTAATGCACAACAAGATACTTTCCGTTGTTTAAATAACTGTCTCACGAACCATAAAATGTCGATTGCTTACGGACCTGTCTAGTTTCGCTTTTAGTATGTGCAAATCGAGTATTTTCCTCGCCCGAGACAGCATTTACGATTGTCAGTTAGCACATTAAGAAGGAATTTTCGAGCCGTTCGGTGTACATCCATGACTCACGTCATAAAAATGAAAGCATTATGTTACATGCCAAATAAAACGGTATTGTGACAGGAGTTTCTCGATTTTTTTGTTATGCAGTCGATGAGGTGATTCCATCAGTCAGCTCATCGGGTTTCGACTGAGTAAAAAGTGATAATAACAATAAAGATAGGATGTTACTGTCATCATCACCTTCAACAGTGTAGTCGTTATCGCCATCATCAACTGTCGTTGAGTGGATGAATGAATGAACTTCATAAGACCGAAACTACCTCATGAACCCAAAGTGTTTTCTTTCTCTCTTTGTTTTCAAATTTGAAGGGCTAAAAACCCGTGCTAGTGTTATTCATAAAACCGATTAACCTCTATTTGGTAACTCGTATCACAACTATGTGACAGGCCTTGAGTGTGCAAAGCCCGTTTGTATCCGCCATTGTCATTCACATTCGTAGTTTCACTGTAATGCGTAAAACAACAGAAGCTAGGCTGGACGGAGAAGATCCCAAATCTCCCCCCCCCCTCCCCCCCCCAAAAAAAAACGAAGTCGTGGTTCAACACAAACACTTTAACTGTTTAATTGCTTCCTCTTTTCGGTTTGAAGATAATGAATCTTAAAACTTTTCAACATTTGGTATGCTACAGTATCCTACTGGATCGTGATGGAGAGTACATTACGTATCATCTATTCAAATATGATTCATACGATACAGTATCAATGAATCTATGAAGTGAGGATCTGGAATGATGTCCTGAACTAATGCACCTGAAATTTATCTGTGACTGGCGGATAGCAACTCTACTGAGCATACTATATAATCAGAATGCGTTTTACAGTGTCGGGCACGAAGGCCGAATGGGTAGTGATACAAAATTGGAGAAGTAATTTTTCAATAAATGCTAGCGATTGAACAGCTCGGGTAGTTTAAATATGAATTGAGAGAGCTGCCGTTTGGATGGAACCAGTTTGTTTATTATGAAATGCATTATGAATATCAAATTGTTCCAATGTAAAACAAGAACCAGAATGAACCCTAACCCAAGCATTTATGGTGTCTAAAGACCATTTACGAGTTAGCATAATATTTCACTGAAGAACAACCTCAAAAAACGTATCGAGAAGTTACATGATGTAAATCATCGCTCCGAGGTTACCGTCCATTAGAGTCCTAAATGTACTTCGGAAAACGCCAGAGAAATGTTTCAGGCCTCCTCCAGAGCTGAAATACATCGCGCATTTTATACTTTGCACCCATGCTTGGCAGGGTTATCTGACCTTGGCCTTGAAAGTGTTGTCCGACAATCGTGCAAACTCGACCTACGACAGTCACACACCGCCAGATCTGATCAAATTCTGCGCCCCACAAACGCACACGTACTTTGCCAATCACAATAGGCAAGTGGATGCGCTCTGTGCATGAGATTATTAGTGCTTGTTTAGTGCTGACAAATTTTTACGAATTCTCGCATTTGGACAGAAAGGTAGTTGCTCCGTCCTCTAGTGACAACCATCGTTAGTTAGGCTGAGATCCTAGGCGTGCCATTTATTCGTGATTTGGATGGGCCGCGCACACCAGTTGAATCCAGACTCAAGGGCACCGTGACTCTAGTCGGTAGTGAACATGAAGCAGCGAAATAGTTCCTGATTTTGTAAATGTCGGTCGGCCCTCTCAGGCATGAGGGTATGGCGTACATTTCGCATTGTAGATGACTCGGACTTCTAATTTGCCTTTGAAGTCAATTATTCACCAACCTGAACTATGCGGTCATGTAACCCTTTTATTTCTCAACTGAGGGCGGACGATTCCGTCCACTTTAAATGGACCAGTCATCCAACAGAAAGCCTGAAAAAACGGTTAAACACTGTCTTTTCTGTGTCCAGTCGCTGTTCGGGCCCGAAGCCTCTCATCCGTCAGCGTAAACAAGAAGGCAGCTATTTGCTAAAAATAGTCAGACAGTCACACAAAACGACTACTCATGCAGCTTCCACTCCTATCAGCGTTCTCCTAGTATTGGCACATTAATAAATGGATCAGCGTAGAAGTACATGCTCTCTGACACGTTCGGTTGTCTAGAAAAGTTTTATCGTCAAGGATATTCCATTTTGGCTTCCAAGATATTGTAGTCGGTGGGGATGCATTGCTACTGTGTTAGTTATCCCATGTTGTGTATGGTGATTCACGCTAATCTAAGGACTCTAATAAATACATAATTTGCTAACTCATTGGTCATTTATCTAGCTAGCGAGTTATAGATCAGTTGAAATGTCACCTAAAGTTCACACACTTTTGCTCTCAATCTCTAATGCCGTTGGCGTTTCTGATAGCATGTTTCAGTAACTTAAAATGGATTATTCGCATGAAGCACCTCGCCTTGCTGCTCTTGTTAGCCATGAATGCCACTAAGAAAAATTGATGCAGTCACGTTGGACGATTGACACTGAATGTGAAAGGAACACTTGCAGCAGCGTTGATAGCATCAAGGTATCGGTTTGTATCAAGCACGCATAACAATGACGTACTGAATGTGCAGTAATAACAGTAATGAGACCAGGTTTGGTTCAAATCAATCACCAGCTGTGTGCGAGCTATAACTGGTACAAACTTTCAAGACTTGTTTCGAATAAAGGAACCCTTGAGAATTTCCTGCGCGTAGTTTACAGAAGTCGACAGCTACACATTTTTGAAAGACTGTCTAGTATTCTGCCAAAGCGGAAGCAAACTTGAATACAAGATAGCCATCGATCTCTCGAAAATGGTCACGATATTTCATCAAAATGCGTCCGTTTCCTAGAACTTCCCCTGCAGACAGACGGCTGCAAACAATGTTGAGAAAAACGGTTCATAGACGTAAATGCAACCATACAGACCACCGGTTGCACAAAACACATCGGCTTGCCAGCTCATTTTCGGACGTTCTGCTGAAATATTTGCGACACTACTTTCCAATAGTGTTGCACTAACGAATCACCATGTTAAACAAAGCAGCACCTAGCTTTAAAGTCATCCGATCTTGCAACAGTTGTATTTTCTATAGCACCACAAAAAACAGCAACCAGGTGATGTGTACAGGTTGCTTTTCTGAGAAAAAAAGCAATTAATCCAACAATTTTTTGGGGAAACCAATCGCCCAATCAATCAGTATGGCCCTATATATTTGCACGAAGACGTGCAGCACGGTCGTACTGTCAACAGGTCCAACAGCTTTGCTCCACCAAAACATTAGCTTGGTGTGTTGCTTCAAAGTACGGAAACCGAGTAGATGTCACATCACCTCCGACAACACTATCACACAGTGGTTTGAAAACGAATCTACCTTTAACGCGGTAGAGCCAATAAACCAGTCTTCCTCGTTGTATGCATCCTAACTGTTTGGAAAATTCGAAGAAATCCTGGTATAGTTACCAGGAAGTTTCAGTATCTCCCGTGATTGCTGTGAACAAGAATAAACTCAAGGGGATCTGGACATTTGTTCTAATGAACGACCTGCATATGTTTGATCAAGCAGCCCTTTGAAACTTTCCGCAGAGGGCATATCAACAGCTACATTCATGAGGCCCTTGTAGATGCAGATTGTACCAGGTCAAAGGGCAGAAATTGTTTGCAAACAATTTATCCGTAACTTGAAACATTCCACCAACAGTCGCCGGTTATGTGTACTTTCGACTGAGGGCTAAACCTTAGTACGTACCACCACGTAATCCTATGTTCTACTCATTTAGAAGCATTGGCTGCTGATACAGGTACAAAAAACAGTACATCAAACAAGGGCGCATGAATACGCAAACTTAGATATGTGAATATGGCGTAAATTTGATCACACAGACTTGTGAAGCACTATTCTCAGAAATCCAACTTTCCAATTCGAACTGTTCCGTTAATACCTTAGTAAACCACGTGAGCAATTCATCGAATTCTTCAACTACTCGCTGGTCTAGCTGTGTTTGTTCACCGGATGCGGCCCCATAATCTAGTAGTGAAGAGGCAGTGCTAAATTTTCTTGGTAAAGTTTCCTGACATTTGGCTTCGGTGATGTTTGCTTTGGTAGGGATTTCATGCATATCTTCCTCGTTTTGTATGTGTGATCCATACCACGATTCCCACCACCAATGACAATGTTATGTAACCAACGAATGTCTCAAAACCGTTTCATCATTTTCACGCACATGAGAGTTATGTAATCTGTCTGGAGCTCATCTGTTTATTCTGATCAATTTCGATCGGTTTGTATTCTTGCATGGTCATTTTTTTCATGTGCCGGAAGTGACAATGTATTACCGTTCTTCAGAGTTTGACGTATGCATCTTATTGGTCATCTCCGTCGCGTGTGCAGCTTGCTACCTAATTTGTCATTACCATCCGCACTTTACACAAAATTTTGAAGAATTTGTTCTTTTGAAATTGAAAAAAGTCCAATCAGGCAAGTGCGTGGTCAAAAGAGTGGTAGAACCATGATAATTGTCTGTATCGAACGGACGAACGATTTACCCAGTGTTTTCACAGAAGGTAAAGTTATTTTGATGTTTCAAGGAAGAATGAGAGTGCACGAAACTCATCTTATTTCTGCCATAATTTGGAACATAAACCAGATCTCGAACCAGAACGCATGATTTCGCAAAGAAAGAAAAGGAAATTTTCAATAGACAACCATATGAAGGAATGCGTCTGTCACCGCTGTGAAATCTCGCC